TGTAGTTTCGTGTGATACTGTCCCTTTCTGCTAAACATCTGATAGGGACTAACAAACTTTGAATTTACTGGAGAAATATTAATGGCGTGACAGGCAGACTCACTTGAAAGCATAATGATTATAACACCACAGTAGCAGACACTGTATCCGCCATCTTTGAATCTTCCTACAGAATGGCTTAAACATGTACTCTGCCATTTTGTCTACCCTCCTGCCACACTATTTGATGCTCTTGTATTCAGTACTTACAAAAATTTTGTCCTCATATAGGAGCCCCTTCGGATAATGAATGTTGTGACAGGCTACATTGCTGATGTTTCAGAAATTATAATCTCAAGTATTCATGTGAAGACTTAAGCATGGGGGCTACTAATGTGTCTTAAATGTAAGCAGATCACTGTTACAAAAGGCTTTTTTCTCCCAAATAATGAGCGTGTCTCAACAGACCACCATGAAATCTTCAGCACTTGAAACATTGTACATATTCCAATACAACATGGAAATGACTTTACAGTACCATCTGCACTCATATTTTTACTCAGTATTATCATAAATATATCACAAGTTATATGCCCGCGCTCTGTGGGATACACTGATCTGATATCATAGGCACTTTCTGTGTCATCAAACAGATGTATTATTCTTCTGAAACCTCTGCTAGCTCACAGTAACCTCTTTAATGAAAACATCTCCTTCAATGTACATCATATTCACTGTATGAGTTGAGGAAAGATAACGGTAGGCACCAAGGTTAACACCATCCACTGTAACTAAATATTCATCTCGTTTACACAGAATCTTCATTGAAAAAGGTCGGCCAGGTGTGAAAAGGAGAGGGTATTTATGTTCAGTCCCCCATTTTCCCTTTGACCAAGAGTTCATTATCACTCCATACCCAACACTTGCATGGAAGCGAGGGTTAACATGTAGCAGGATGTCTGGATGTGGCCACATGTGCATGCTGTTCTGTAGGTTCACAAAGAAACTGAAACACAGACATGGAAAAGGCTGGTTTTTCAACAGCTTCTTGTTACCATAAAATACTAAGAGTGTATTCAGTTTGGTGTACATGAGTTTCCAGATGTTTTCTGTATGACTTTTACTTTGCCGTTTGTCTCAATTCAGGTCTTCATGGAGATTTGTTATAAATGAAAGTTTTACAGTTGATGTTTTAATGCACTGGCACAAGTTATGTTTTGCTTCCATTACATGAAACGTTCATAATACGAGGCCTGTTCAAATGAAACCTGTTTCTGTATTAAGCTGTGACAAAGACATCAAGGTCACAGTGATGGCAGTGATTCCAGCAGCAGTCCAGGGATGTCTTTACAGAGAGAATCCATAGGCTGCTGTGTTGGTGAGATATCTGCCTCGGCGCCACTGGGGTCTGTTTGTAACAGACTTCACACAGAACAGTCCCCAAACATGTTTCATTTAACCAAGCTTAATATAAAAGAATGTTTTATGTAACAGCCACATATCTTGGCAAGCACTACTTTTATGAGTGAAGTGTCTGTATTATGGGCCAGTTCTAAGAAATCTTTTTTTTCAATTTTGAGTAAGGTAGGAGTTTCAGTAGGTCAGTACCAACCAAAATTAAGTGTAAACCTCTGATACAAGATTTCATCAAAATTTGAAGAGTTTGGGTGATGAAATGTGTGAAAGGACAGCAAAGCATGAACTCCCTATTGTGCATATACTTTATACACTTGAGTAGAGAGAATATAGAAGGTACATGTATAAGTATAAAGGACCATAATCTGTAACATAATTTTTCAGTAGCTAATAAATCGTCCAAAATGTGGCATTGAATGAAAATATATTCAGTTAAGGAAATTTTAATTTGACTTATTTAAATAAAAAGGTCGAAGACTGAAATATGTGTTTTTGTGCCCAGTGTCAGTGTACCATAACACTGGTGGGGGCATCCAGTTTTGAGGTTCTAGCACCCATGAATCAAACTCTGATTCTCCGGGTGAAAGGAATGGTGATAATGTGCATTAGACTTGGATCTGCAATTTAACATTGAACCTGAGCCACACTGGAGGTGTGGTAAGGCATGCAGCAAAATCTGTGCTGAATCCACTTCGTCTTGACCACAGCGCCTTCAGCATAGAATTTCAATATCTTACCCCCTAGACCACCAGGTCAACAGACTGGAATATATGGGGATGTTCCGCATGAAGGGATATAATTTTATCCCTTTTACTACAGCATGACACCTAGGATTCTCAGTGTAACAGAAGAAGAGAGATTCAAGGTATTTGAAGAAAAAAAAATGCTTAGTAGAAGAACTTAAATAGAGATGAACTAGCATGGAATAGGTCTGTACAAGACAAAAATTCGATTAAAGGGCTGAAAATCTTGTGAATTCTTTACAAAATAAGATACTCAAGTATGTACAACAAGTAAATATAAAATAGCATTAAACTTACGAGTGCGGTAAGAGTTTTATCCTCCCAACTATCTCTAGCTCTTGACCAATAAGAAGTCCCATTGGTAGGTTGCCCAAAACTGGTAACACCTGTTAGCATATATTAGATTAAGTATTATGTTCTTATGTTGGTGAATATTAGGATCTGATACTGTGTGTTTTGGTTGATGGTGCAACATGAAATTGTTACACAGAGATATTGGGTTTTCGGACCTTATCCATCGTCCTGGTTTTTAAGATAACTAAGAAAAAACACAACCTTTCGGAAACTGGATCTGTTTCCGTCCTCAGGTGAGGTAAAACACCTATTCTGTTGAGTCCCTTAGAAAGAGCTAGCCTCAATCCTAGTTATCTTAAAAACCAGGACAATGGATAAAGTCCGAAAACCCAATATCTCTGTGTGTTATACACCATCATCAGAATCCTATAGTAACTACATGAAATTGTTATATAAACGTGAATGATAATGGCAGACACTTACCACATTATCCGTGATGCTTTCGGAGAGTGGCATAGTGTGTGAAATCGTAACAACTGGGTCTCGCATATCAGGCCGTATTTCAGGGTAACTCTCTGTCATGTGATATTCAAATGAGTTCACAGTTACATCCCCCTGGATCTGCACTGTCTGGATTCTCAGACGCAAAGTGCGATAAGCATATGAACAGAAGTGGTAATTATTCACTGCCACCTACAATGTGACAAAAATGTTTCAGTAATATAGTTTATTTAAATATAAAGACAGGAATGGGGACAATTATATGAGGAATTTTTAATATTCATGTGATATTATCATGGTCATCAAATATAGGAGAAGGAGAATAGTAAAGCCTGTACAACAAATGGTAGAAGCAAGAAATGTCCACATAATTGTAGACGAAACATGAAGGAGGACAATCCACTTCAGAAACTGCATACAGACTAGAGGATAATTGTAAAGATATGTGTTTTGAAGGCACGAATATGATTAAACTGTATCAGATAGGATTATGGGGATCTGTGAACACAATAATGAAAGTTCAGTTTTCATAATATCAGGGAATCTCTTGGCGAGTCGAATGCCTGTCGTTCTGGAAGTAAGGCCAATTAGAGTGCAGTTAGAATTTTTAACATATTTTTTTCATACTGTTTCCATATTTTCTTAATATTAATAGTAATAGTAATATGTAACACATATCAGTGTACTTAATTTTTCCAATAATTTATAAAGTTAAATATTTGCAAGCAAGATAACAAAATACCAGAACATTTTCTCTTTGTATACCGTTGAGAAATAAACATAAAATGACCAACAAACATATTCTGAATCAGGAGATGTTCTTGAATACAGGAAACTGCAGAAAGTACCAATAGATTTATTCCTGTGCTGCTGGAGCAGCTGCCGGGTGCACATAGAAAGAAAGAAGTACGTTTCAAACCCCCCTGAAGTGCCTCAGAGATGTAAAGAAACTGTTTCTTCCAATAAAATTCATTTAGGGACAAAATGACTTAAGGCCAAAAAAAATGTAATCATAAACTAATATTTTAACATATTTAATTTAAAGTGGTAAAAGACTATAAAAGAAAGACATATACCAAACATTAAAATTTGTAAGCATATTTTCTGGCTGCCTTCTCCTTGGAATTGATGCTGTTGGCACCTATGCTCTTGGGGACAAATCCACAATAGACAGTTACCATAAACCCATCCTCTGCTGCTAGAATGGTGAGATAGAACTTTGCTCCACGTTTGAAAGGGTTTCTCTGTGTGGCTGCACACTCCTCATGTCCCCACCGGCCTCCCAGGCGGGAGTTCCTCACCACATAGTTCTGATCAAACCTTGGGTTCAGGTGGAAGGCCACATCAGAAGCTGGAGTAGACCCACATGCCAGGTTGACTGAAAACCTGTACACATAGAAACTGAATGAAATGTATTCTCTAAATTATTTGCAAGATTAACACATAGAGCACTGTGACTTTTTCCCATTGTTTTGTATAGATGTGCAAGTTTGTCTTTCACATTAACAAAAGAAAATAATATTAAATATGGTTGAGAACAGGATCTTCTTATTTTAGTTGTGGTTTCCTCTCTACACGTCAAAACTAAAATGTAGAAATTAAGCACAATGCCAAGAAGACGTATGGGTGAGTGGATGTATAGAGAGATCCATGTATTCTTGAACTCAGCACTAGTTGGAGATTAGTGGTCAACTTCATGCCTCAGCTGCCTTAACACCCAGGGATTAGATAGGAGGCCGGGTGGGCTGCAAAACTGGCCTGGACAACCGGGAGAGGAGAAAAATCCTACCTCTACCCGGACACAAACTCCAACCCCTCGACTATCCAGCCTGTAGCCAGTCACTATATTGACTGCACTAACCCTGTTCATAAAACTAATATATGTAATATTCAAAGAGTTTGGTTGCTGACTGCAAGCAAACATGTCTGGTACAATAATCAGTATGCTAATAACATTTGAAGAAAATGACTGGTTCATTCTGGGAATGAAATGACACATAAATCCATTGCATAGGCCAAATTGTATGTTGCTGAATACTAAATCAGCAGGTAGATATTATTACCACTGGGCTATAAACTACATACCTAGTTGCATGAAGCAAGATCTCTCCTTCTACATCTATGGCCCGACCAACATCAATGGGCACGGACAACTCTCCCACGAATGGTACCGGCTGGCAAACAAAAACCAGTATAAATATTGTGGCCCGAAATGAATCTCACAACGACGACTACCAGTTGGTGGATACAAATGCAAGGAAAACAATCTAGAAATCTGTAATTATGCTTGTATGTGGTGGTGCGTGTATGAGTGGGTGAATGAATGAGCGTTATTATTTGTACATATGTAATTATGGACATGTGTGAATTTGGTTATGAGTTAGAAAACTAATTAATGTTAAATAGTATTTGTATCTATGTGACTGCATGCTTATATGGTCACTATGAAGTGCAGTCTTCTGGGATATGGCATCATATAGTCTCATAAAAGTTCACCTGCATTTCCGAGGAACATACTGTCTCCTTCTTCAGGGCTAAAGAGCAAGCCACTGAACAGGTTGGTCTACAGGCAACACTAGGTTTATACTTGGGAGGTGTTTGGTTTGAATTTCGGCCAGTGACTGATGTTTATTCATGTGGTTTTTTTTTTCAGTCTCTGTAGGAATATTATGGGATTGTACCTTGAATAGGGCATGGCAGCTCCCTTCCACTTTTTCCCCAATTTATTGGTCTTGTGTCATCCGACTATATAATCTTAATACTGAAGGCGTCATTAAATAACATATCCAAAAAATTTAAGAACTAGCCAAACAGCAAGTTCCGTGCTACTTGCCTGTTCTACTAGTCTATATGGCATAATATTCCAGAAAACAGTACTCTTTACTTTGTTCTGGGTTGTCCCTTGGGTCCTCTTTTCCTTAAACTTTAATTGTAACAATTCCTCTTCCAACGCTGTTAACACATTTCTGTGTGACATGAGACATTTTCTCAAAATCTAGTTTCTGAAGACGCGTATTATTTTTGTTAGTGCCAATGTCACGGTAAGAACATATTTCCAACCTGAAACCACCACCGCCCCCACAAAAATTTAACCACTTCTGAGATTTCTAACGATGGTGTACGTGTATAACTATATTTTTGACTGATATTATGGTCAATTTCCATTGTCCCTGTCTTTTACTATCTTCATTCTGTCATATTAAGAATTAAAAGCGCCCTTGTATCCAGAACGTCGGTAAACAATTACCGGACTAAACAGTGTCACATCCATGAAGATAGTAATCTTCAAAACAGAACCAGTTTCCGAAACAAGGATCATGGACGATGTCCAAGATCTCAGTTAAAAAGATCAATGTTTATGTAGGCTACATATCACATGGCACCCGTCTCTTTCGTGTGACCTACAAAGTCATCAAGGTTGCTATTTTGAGAAAGACCATGATTTTGTCAAGATATCTCGCTAGCTATTAATCAGGCACTGAGTTGGCGTAGGTGGCAGGGATGACGGACACACAGAGATGAATTACACATAGTAATATCTAGTGAGCTGTGACTCCGTGTAATTTGGTAGATACGTACCAGACTACAAGGTATCACATCCTAGACAGTAGTCTTTATAGTCACTGCCATGGAAACCTCAGAGATCTATAGAGGTTAAAATCCAAGGTAATTAATCGAAGTAGTCATCTTTCAAATTTTGATCGACTTTCTTCTTTTATCATACTTTTGTTTAAAGTCGAAGTAGAGTTCCGGTCGATTTTAGAGGAGTGATACACTTTAAAGCCTGGTATAGTGTGGCAGACGATTAAACGGGGCGTGCGGTCACCAATATTCGTCAATTATCAAACCTACGTTAATTATTTAACTTGTGACAAGAAATAGTGAGGCCATGTGTGAAGCGACAAAACAGTCCGAATTGGCCCCAGCGTTCCTTTGAAAGTAGTTTGAGCGTAAGAATAAAACCAAGGAAGCTAATCTACATGAGCTTGACAGCAAGAAGATTTGGAATGTACACGTAAGTGTGTATAGTATTTTTAATGTGGCTACGCTGCTCCAGTTATCTTGCGTTTTTCTGACATTAGTTGGACCATCTTTACAATTTTGGCATGCTTTTAAGACCACTTCCGGTCAAATTATAAGAACTTAATAACTCATATATGTACATTCACTGGCAATGCTAAAAATATCCGGACAGTCAAATGGACATCCCAAGCCTTCTATTTAAAGCAGTGGGTGAAGTGAATGCATAATGGGGATGTATCCGACGTCGTAAGACATTTGTACGCTCACATTTATTTACTTCATTAGATGACCAATATAATAAACTTTCTAGAGGTTACGACGGATACCGTCATGTCTTCTGGGATGTGACAACCGTGTAGTTTGGTAGGTACCAACGTGTGAGAGGAACGTGCTGTCTATGTATTCAGGGTAGAAGAGGATATCAAATTCTTGAATGGGACCGGCGTTTTATTATTGATCCTAAACCGTCGAAAATGCATAATGGGGAGCTCATGTACATCATGTTTTCTCTATGAAACCGTTCAGTAGATTTAAATTAATTTTGGAATAAGACTAGTAGGTCGATTGTAACTCCCGCTTCACATTAAACTTGAACTGTAATAGGGTTTGTAAATACAAAGTATTGGTACGTTATACGAATGTAGATCCTACTGAGGTCTTTTGTCTGATTATGATATACGCCTATACGGTGTTTCACAAAATATGTTCAGATTGCTTGAAGTGGCCCAGTAAAACAACGAACTGAAAACCGGTTTTCCGGCTGAGATTTAAACCGGGATCTCCGGAATACGAAAGAAAAGTGATAACCTCTGCACAGCGACTTGTAGTAAGTGTAACTACTGCATGATGCGACGGCTCGTTGCCTGTGCCTTGCATTTCTAACTTGTGTTGCTCTACATACGGCACGATGACACCACACCCTTTACTCCACGAGCCCCATGAGGTAAGGAACTGCGCAGGACAAGGTAAATAAACTACAATTAGGGGCATCCAAATTCTGAGTGTATATCGCCCACGAAACACAAATTCTCTTGTAAAATTCGGAAGGTAACAAAATGGCTGATGGCATCTCGTCGGATACGAATGTTGCAACCAACGGAACCAAATTTGAAGGTGGCTTTGCCCCTTTCGACGCAGCTGTTTCAAAGTGTGCAGTTCCGTATACACGGATCCAAGTTTATACTAACACATCTTAGTAATTACAATTCTTTTTATAAAAAAATTGGTATTATTTTTTGAGCAGAGATAGCTCAGTCGGTATAGTGACGGGCTTCAGGATGAGCAGCCTGGGTTCGATTCCCACCAGGGACAATTTGTCTCTACTCCACAGCGTCCAGACCGGATCTGTGGCCCACCCTGCCCCCTATCCAATGAGTACCGGGGTTTTTTCCCAGCGGCCGGGGCGTGAAGCTGACAATTGACCTCCATCTCTTACCGAGGTCAAGAATGGTGGAGTTATACCTCCACTCCCCCACACGTCTTCATGGCGTAATGCTTAATTAATTACGCATAGGAACAATTTTTCTTTTTCCTTGGCACTACAGCCCCAGTGGACCTAGGCCTACCTCCATGAACTTCTCCGTTCACTTCGGTTTTTCTAGATCTTACACATTCGGTAGGACTCCTTGGGCGGGTGATCAGCTCGTCGCAAGGCCTCTACCTGTACACAAACACAGAAAAACGCACACACACAAACTAAACATCCATGCCCTGAGTGGGATTCGAACCCACGATCCTGGTTTCCAAGCGAGCTAAGACAGTACATGCCTTAGACCGCGCGGCTACTGTGACCGGCAGGAACAACTTTACCATAGGATATTTAAAAAAAACATGTTATATTATTTGTTAAATTATCTTGTGTCATGAATACGTCGGTACATCTAGTTATCCAAACGGAAATCTTTATTGTGTATTAATCATCCTTTTTGTGATACTCTGGGCTTTTACTACAGGTGGATTTTCTTTATCCTGGTTTAGGGCCTCGCAAAGCCTTCGTACGGCCTCCGTTCCGTGACATCCCCTGCGATCACGTAACGATATTAACACTCACCTGTCGACCTTCGACTGTCCTACTATGGGGGGGCCCCGAGCGGGGCTTTGTGCGAATCTAAACAGCCGTGACGTTGCCTTTGCGGAAACTGCATCAAAGGAAAGAGCATAATGAGACGGCTGTATTTTTGCATGTCTGCATGCTTCATATTCGAAGATACTCAACGGTTTTCGATTAAATTTGGAATTGTGGTAATACACTAAAATATTTGAGTAATTTAATTTTTGTCGGTATCGGTGTGATATCCCCCCCCCACTATATATGAAATTTATACCCTTGCTGTTATTGGTTCGCAGCGGGTCCCGATTCTCCCTCTCCCTACATCAGAACGACACTCGGTTCATTCTTGCACCATGAAGAAGGAGGCAGCATGTAAGAAGTGTTTTATCAGACTACACGCCGTCATATCCCACAAAACAGCAATCTTCATATAACTACATATTCACAATGTTTCTTTCCGAAAAGAAAAAGGGAGTGGAAATTTTCGTCTGGAATATGCAGTCTCCATGGGTCATGTCATTCATTGTTGTGCGGCGTTTTGCGTCGCTGTCAGTAGCTAGACTGTACAGAGTTGTATGGTAGGGTGACAGACGAATGATGAATTGGCAAGGTTTCGGAAGGGAGCTGGCTTGGCCTAATCGAGTACAATGCCTGATTTTTTTGGGGGAGGGACTGAGGTAAATCACAAAATATCTCAGTCAAGATAACCACAATCGGACCTATATTCGAACCGAGTACCTCAAGAATACGAGTCTACAGTATTATGGCTGTCTGTTCGATGTGCATGTTGGCTTTGTAATGTTTTCATAAAATAACATGGTCACACAAAATATCTAACGCTACAATTCTTTTCCCCCGGTGAAGTAACCAACATTTTCATACCCGAACCACAGTTTTGTTGTGTAAGTGGAACGTACCGGGTTTTCCACTCTCTTGTCAGTTGGGAATTGCTCCAAGAAGACGAATTGTTCATCCACTTCCTCGCCCATCTCCACGGGAACTTCCTCCCCCTCGTTCTTCGTATCCCCGCTACCCCCACAACACTCCACACAACTCTTCCACCCCATTGTTGACACATCACTGAGATCCCGTCATGGAGACTGAGTCCAAATGCGCTTGCGCGTGTTTTTCACCGTAGGAATATTTTTAGGTGAACTGTGTAGTTATCCGTGTTAACCTGGGCCAGGTTGAATGTTAAAATTATGGTCTTACGGCATTCCTGTGGCAGTCTGTTGGCGGCTGAGCTGCAACACGATGGTATATGACTCTGCGGGAGGAAACAGCTGTAGGGCAGTGATTCCCAAAATGCGTTGCGCGAACAGAGAGGGGTAATTTCGATATGAACATGACCCGAATGGTTAAATGAAGGGAAGAAAGTGGGGAGGGTTTCGTGAACATAATGGCGGGGGGGAATAAATTTAAAACGATCCACGTAAAGTGTTCTGTGAAAGACAATGCCGTTATGGACCCAAATCTGATTTTTTTTTTAATAATTTGACCCAGTGTGTACTAATTACGAACACGATTAGTTTGCACACCGAAGGACCAATAAGAATCCTCAGGAGTTTTACTCGATTTTGACAGGTAATTTTATCCTTTCGGGCATCTCGCTGGGCTTGCAGGGTCATGGAATATGTCACTTAGAAGTTTCCCAAAGGGGTTTAAATTCCAAAAGATAATTCCATCACCATGTGAATTATTTCAGCTGGAGTTCTCTTGTAAGAAAAAATTTGAAAAGTATACAATTTTGGATTTCACGACAGAAGCAGTGGTAACTTGAAATAATGTTTTCATATGTACCACATTCATAGGCACTGTTGGGACGAACATATCTCCTATCTCCCCTGTATTTTTGGAGAGAAATCGAAATGCAAAATAATTATACCAAACATTCTTTAATTATTCTATCGTGGGTCGTGCGTAGTTACATTGACTCCTTCCAGTCTGTTCCATTTTTCGCGCACTGGGCTCACTCTGATGGGAGGATCCTGAACACAGTTTATGGCGCCATCTTTGTTTCAGCATAGGGACCCCACAACTCCTACAACGATTCGTAAAAATATTCTTGAGCTGCCTAAATGTAAATTTGTAAGCAATTTTTCTGTCTGACCTCCTGTCGGCGTCCATGACCAAATTCTTTACTTTTTATTACGTTCTTCCCTTTCGGGGTTTTGAACCTTCACGTGTATGGGTGGAATCAAGCTGCATACCCATGTAAAATTACTACAGTCTGAAATATGTTCCAAATTTTCAATGAAACAGCGATTCTGTGAACTTATCTGGTGTAGTTACTGAGACAGCTTCATTCACGAGGACCTGAAATGGGTTTCCGCCAGTGTCTTTTTTAATGTCAAAGAAGTTCCGCGCACGGATAAATCTGGGAAGTGCTGCTGTAGGAAATTCGTGCTAAGCAGCCATAAAAGTATATCCAAGACAAGAAGCTAAATATAATCACGTGACAATTTTCGATGACGTGAGAACTCGACCTGAAATACGAACACTAATAACAGTAATTCGAAGATAACTTTATAATACAGAAAACATTAACATAAATGTATTCATCTGAGTTTATTTGGACGCCTGACGTACCATAAATCATTCCAACCTCCTTAAGCTCACTTGGTAAAAACACGCGGTACGTTATTGATCCCAACCACACATCACATGACTTTCCGGTAGGTCTGTATTACCAGCACCAACATGAAGTAATCCAGCCTAACTTCCCTAAAGCACAACTTTTTAAAATTATTTGATGATACGAAGGTATGCCTCATCGTCCAAACATAAATAATTTTAACATCTTTACCCCGTTGTTGAATTTATGGATTTAACATAGAAATTGAAATAACTCTAACCTATTAGGCCGAGGACACACCAAGGAAACTGGCAACCGCAACGCAACCGCAATTTCCGAGAATCGTTATTAGCCTGAGTTGAACACGTGTTACTGAATGGAGCAGCGCAAATTGAGGAAACGCGTTGCTCCATTCAGTAATTCTCGGAAATTTCGATTGCGCTGCGGTTGCCAGTTTCCTTGGTGTGACCTCGCCCTAAGTGAACTACTAGACGTAACACAAACCGATGTAGCATTCCTGTCACTGAATTCTTTCTGGGTTTATTTACATCTTAAGCAACACGTACCAATCTAATTTCTCTAAATTACTAGACGTAAACCATAACCATTCTAATATCTTTAACATGTTCTTGAATTGCTGAATTTAAGACAGACAAACTATGACAAATCTAGCCAGCCATTGTATCGTGTTAGACACGACACAATTTAACATCTTCGCAGTATAAAACACCGATAGCCTGCCACTGTTACGAGTCAACAGAGTGTCACTATTGTTCAGTGGTTTTTGCACTTGACGTAACACAGAATATGTTAATTTCACATACTGTAAAGATGCCCCAAATTATGAGGAATCTAAACGTGTTTATATTTCATAGGAGCATGGAATTACACAATTTCTTCTCTTCAAGTTGCACACACACGAGCTTACTGCATTCATTGACCGCGTGTATATTTTGCGAAAGCGGGGCGTGAGTCCCACTGACCACGCACTTTTCATCGATGTACACTACACGTTGCAAGAGATCGACCTCACTACGAGATCCGTAACAGGCGGTACCAGTTACCATGACCACCACGACTACGCTATTTGGTTAGCGATTTGTTCCCTGAACGCATGCCAGTGCTGGCCTCAATAACTGGTTTCCTTCCGCTGTTGATTCATACCATGTGACGCTGTGTTGGATTATGGATAATTACGTCATGTAACCGCGCCTTCTGAATCATAATAACTGCTGTCCATACCAGGCGTGTGCAACCTACGGGCCGTACGGTTCATATTTCTTGGCTCGCGAATTGGTAAGGATCTTCTTTACAGATTAACTCGTGCCATGAAGAAAAGTCGTCCCTATGCGCTGTAGCATGCTGACGAAAGAGACCAATGGGAAGACCAAGGCGTAGGTGGGTGGACAATATTAAAATGGATATTAGAGAGATAGGATGGGATGGTATGGATTCGATTGATCTGGTTCAGGATAGGGACCAGTGGAGGGCTCTTGTGAACACGGTGATGAACCTTCGGGTTCCATAAAATGCAGGAAAATTCTTCAGTAGCTGCAGAATTGGCGGCTCCTCAAGAAGGGCTCAGCTCCATGAGTGAGTCAGTAAGCATACTGATACATGGTGGAGTGGAGATATGGCTCCACTATTATCTACCTCAGCACTAGACGGAGGTGAGTGGTCAGTTCATTCACTTGTCGCTTCACCCCCGGGCAGGAGGCCCCCGGTACCTATTCTGTTGTGCGGTCTGCCCTAGAGATGTGGCAGTTTCGACTTTCAATATCCTTTGGTGTACTCGCTTATCTTTCAATTTTAGTTTTTTAAAAAATCCTGGGTTTCAAGGCCTACCTTACCCCCCTCTATTATCGACGCTCCTGCTACATATTGATGTGCACAATTAATGTAATTAAGAGAAAACATAAGTACAGATAATATATAACCGTAATTTTCAGCACTATCAACCTATCTATGGCTCTACAGCCCTTGTGGACCTTGGCCAATTTTTCAGTTCCTTAACCTATACACAGTCGATGTGACTCCTTGGACGGGGGATCGGCCCCGTCGCAAGGCCACTACCTACACACAGAACAACACAAACATAGAATAAACGCACAGAGACATCCCGCCGCGGTGGAAAGCCAGTGACTAACCGCTTGAGCTATGGCGCGACCCCTCTGATGTTGAGGTACGATCTCTCTCTCTCTCTCTCTACACAGGCTGAATCTGAAATGTGCGGACGAATCTTAGGAATGATCTCCACGTACCAAAACAAGGATACAAGTTCATATGTTTCCACAAACTCTTTCTTTCTAAGTTACAGCCCAGCAAATTTCAGTGAGCATTTGAACTGATATTCTAAACTTTGGTGGTTCTTATCTTTCTCTTAAGGCAGCAAAAGCCTGCCGTAGACTTACATTAGACCCTCAATTACGTCCTTAATGCCATTATTAGTGGTGCTGGTTACACTTGAACGGTGTTCGTACTGCGAACTGCACATGCGCAGTGGCAAACTGTACGAGGTCTCCTACAGTATGTAGAGAGAATTTTTGTATTTCTTGGACTACGTTATTGTGAATACTACGGCACGGAACTACGAACTGACGGATGTGCGGTTTACAGGCGGCAGTGGGCAGGAAGCTGGGATTCTCTGCCAGGAAACGTTCCCATACCGACACTATAAAACATTTTCCGCCAATGTTCATCGACTTGAAAAGACTGGAACATTTGAGCCTTATTCTGTCAACTGGGGAAGAGACATCCGTCCAGACATCTGACGACGTGGAGTGTGTCCTGAACCATGCTGAAGATAATCCAGGTGTGAGCACGAGACAAATGGCGACTGAGTTAAATGTTCCGCAAATAACCGTCTGGCGAGTACTGAATGAACAGGTGCTGTGCCCATACTGTACACACCGAGTCCAGGTCTCAAGGCTACCGTTCGCCCAGCACGAGAAACTCTGTGTCGGCGGTTTGATCAGCGGTACGCTGAGCTTACCATTCTTTTGTCAGTGTTCTATTCAGATGAGACAGAATTATAAATTTTCACAACCACCAGTACGCAGCGGACAAACTTCGTAGTGTATCCCAGTCTAGACCCCGGCAACAGTTCAGCATTAATGTTTGAACCGGCAATGTTGGTCAGTGTTTGCTAGGCCCGCATGTTTTGCCACGTCGGCTTACAGGCAACCACTACAGGGATCATCTGTTAAATGATTTGCCCGTTCTACTAGAAGATGTACCACTAGCAATCAGAGAATGTATATGGTTCTCGCATGATGGTTCTCCAGGAATTTTCATCGGTGGAGATATCCTCAACAATACCTATCATATCCCATGGATTCATAGAGAAAGACTCACGGCGTGGCCCCCACCATCACCTGACTTGAATACTCTAGATTTCTGCCTATGGGAGCACACAAAATGTCTCGTGTATGCAGGTCCTATTGACAACGTTCACCAGTGAGTTATGAAAGCCTGTCAGATTATCCGCAACTATCCCAGGATCTTTGAACGGGTTAGAGGTGCCCAAGCATATATTAAGTCTCATGGAGGACATTTTGAGCAATTCTTGTAAATGCAGTGCTGTAACTCGGAAAGGAAGGATTCACGGACCCTGAACTTGTTTTTTGTTTTGTTACGTGGGGATTTGCTAGTTAATAATAAGAAAATTTACTCAGTTTTAACTTCTCATCCATAGTTTGTAAAGGCATTTTAAACCCCTCCAAAAATAAACAAAATAAATGAATAAATGAACCTCTAAATACGTACGTTCATCTGAATTCTGGTGTGCGCTATTTTAATTTATTTTATCTGAAAGTGTTTGCAATAAATTCAATTGGGGTCCATTTCAGATTTGGCTTGAAGCGTTACTTAGCGCCTTAATTTCGATCCCCGTTAATTATCAATAATGTAATTCCACTGTGTTTTGAGCAAACCGGGAAAGCCCAGTCGGTATAATCTCAGTATCTGAAAGATCATCTCTAAATAACCAACTATTT